CCATAAGTTCAGAACTCAGCAACTAGGACATGTCTGTCAGTGAGATCAATGACAGAGTGAGATCAGCAGAATGAAGTTATCATTACTTACATATTTACTAAAGTGTTTATTGCTGTATATCATATTCAATCGAAATATATACATAATAAAAAGAAATTCTGTTTTCTTATGATATTTTAATTGCACTTCTTTCATTAATTTCTACGATTCATAAAGAAAAAATATAAAAAATTACGTTTGTTCACATTTGAAATTCAAAAAATTTTTATGTAGCTTACAGTGGCAATGAGAAAACTCCTGCCTTATGCATCCATTCATCATCAGAACTATGTTTATGAAAAATGCATTTTGATGCAAACCATATTAGAATATATCTGTTTTGCATGCATGCGAACCAAACATATGATATGTTTTCATACTATTAGTAAATAATAAAAAGTATCGCTATCATTTTTTCAATTAAAACTAGCAGACATATTGAAGATATGAATGCTTATTTTCACAATTCAATAGTAAGGAAAGAAAATTTCATTACTGTATTGAATGCTTAATGTCTCTGCAGTAACATTGACTGTAATGTCGATTACATGATTCTGTTGGATTTCTACAAACAAGTAAGATCAATAAAAAAAAGTACATGAATAACGAATGAGCCGATGCAACAAAAGCACACATTAATATAATTTTATTATTGTTTTCGTCAGTTTTTTCTTCTTCTTCTGTTCGTGTCTGTACAGTGAATGAAAATGTGAAAGTACAATTTGTAAGCAAAGGACTGCTGAAGAAATGTCAGATTGTATTTTTCGTTCTTTCGATTTTGTTGACATATCCTCAAGCACTTTTTGTTACTGTCTGTCTCTGTACGTCTATCGAGTTAACGAGTTTGAATCAATCAATTCAACACTGTTTATCGCATTACATTCATTTTGTTTCTCTGTGACCATTGGTTTACAAGTTTCTAATGTTGCGAAAATCTATACACCAAATATGATAAACATCATATTGAAAAGATCGGTAAAATCGAATGAATGCTGAAGAGTCAGTTCTCTAGAGTATTCACCTTTTCCTGGGAGAAAACACCGAAAATAGAAGATGTCAAAAAGAATAATAGAAAACAAAAAATTCAAAAAACCCAATGGTAAAAAAAGAAATCGTCGAAAACAATAAGCATGTTAGAAGGACACAATTCACTCAATATGCACATATTTGATTTAAATATAATCTTTCAGCTAAGTACTGATGCATCAACTGTATACAGTCAGCGGATTACAGAAGACTTTCAACTAAGATTTGATATTTTAAATGTAAGAAGTTTAAAAAAAGGTATCAATGAAAAATAACTCTTGTTCAAGCAATTATCAATGATTGAAAGAAATCCAAAACATGAGGTTTTCATAAAATCTCTCTTGTCTTTCTCGATATTAAATGATGGAAGATCAGTGATTTGTCTTATTAATCAATCTCTTGAATTGTATTTTCATTCATGATTTCTAAGATAATATGCTTGAAGCTATAGAATCTTTAATTTCAGTTGAGAGAATTTTTTCGGAGTAGTTTCAATTTCGACAAACTTCCAAGTTTTGGTTCTGCACATATATAGTCTAAACATAGACGATTTCTATAACGTTGAGTTTTTTTTTAAAGATGCTCTATCAAATTGTCTACAAGAATAGTAATGAAAAATTCTCTTTTTTTTGTTTTTGTTTTAATAAGTTTCTTACAAGACTAAAATTGAAGGAATATCTACTGGTCAAATGTTTCATTATTTTGAGAAAAACAAGAATGAAAATAAAACGAAAAAAGTTTGCCATAATATCATAAAAGTTCAATTGAAATAATATTAAAAAAAATTATGAACGTTTATAAAAAAAAATATGCTCACTGTTATGTTTTTCGATAGTTTTTCTTCCATTATTATCATGAATAATAACGACAAAACAAAGATTTTCATCTTTTGTTATTTAAAAAAATTCAATATTTTTAAGATTTGTCTATGTTGAGATATTTACAAAATATTCGATGTTATAATCATTTTCTTTTAGAGAAGTTTCAAGTATATCAAAGCAAAGAACACACCAAAAAATTGTTCAAAAGATTCGAACTCGAAATGTGTACGAAGAATTCTTTTTTGCAATTCGATATTAAAAAAGAAAACATCTAAATAAATGAATATTAAAGATCTATAAAATTGAGACTTTTATTTATTTAACCAGATCATCTAATGAAAAAAAAAGCATTCCCATATGAAATGAAAAACCGTCGTTATTTTTTTTAATATACGGACGGAAATGAATATGTATGTTGAAATGTAAATTATTTATGTACAATTAATTAGATTTGATCGATATTGAATTGTTAATGATATGTCACGTTGTTTAAGAATTTCTTGAATTGATACATATTGTTTTTCAAACATAATAAAATCATTTAATAAAATTAATTTTAATGTTTTTTCAAATGATTCATTTGGATTTTTCGTAACAGGAAAAATTTTTAATGTCCATAATGATTTATTATTTTCATCATCAAATAAATCATCTATATGACGATGAATTTTTTTAGCTATTGTTGATAATGTTTGACCAAAATACAATATTTTATCATTCGTATTATATGTTATTTTCATATTATCATGAAAATCAAATGCAAATGTTGCAAATAATTCATCATTTAATGGAATTGTTTGCATTATTAAATTTGATGGAAGATGAAGAATATTTTGATTAAAATCAGAATATGTTACAAGTGTTATATTACTTAATATTGTATTTTCACCTATATGCATTGGTATACCAATACAACAATATTCAAGTAATGAACGTTTTGATGATCGACATTTAGGATGAATAAAACTATGTATAACACAACCGTGAACATCAGGAGCAGATGGTTGATGATGTAAGGTATCACCATGAGGTAATGCAGGTAGAATTCTAAATAGAAAATTAAGAATAGAATCATATTGCATTCTACTACATATATATATGGGAGTGACCGTCAGTATGGTACCCCGTTTTGATGCACTCCTATTGTAAGAATAAAACATACTATTGTTCGGGCCATATAAGAGGGGATCCTAGATAACCCTGAATTGGCCCGAACAACATCATGTTTTATCCGTACAATAGTAGAGAAAAGCTGCCAACTCACACGATAAGCTAGTAGCTGTTCTCAACTATTGTACGGATAAAA